GAACAGTCTCAGTCCCTCCCCGCAGGCTGCAGTCACTCAAGCAAGCCACACAACAAACAAGGGCACAAATATGTTCGTGGCAATGCTGTGAGTGACACCACCGAGAGAGAAGGTGAGAACAAAGAAATGTGTTTTCATCACGTGGTGGTGTGAGTAGCAACCCAAACACACAAAGAGGAACACACAACAGAGGGACACACTCAAACACCTACAACCCATCAATCTTTATACCAAAATAAAAATGTAGAAAAGAGTGACTGCATGAAGCAGACACAATAATAGAGCAAAGATGTAAAAACAAAAAAAAGAAATTCACTACCTAATGTGACTGCGATGCCTGGACACAGTACAATCCACCCCAAAGGTTAATAACGGAAAATCATTGTGTACTGAACGTGCTGTGCCCATATCTTTATTCTTGATGTCCCTGCAGCAGTTTGTATATAATGAAAAAAAAGAATTATTCCATAAAAATGAACACACAAGATACACACAAGGTGTATAGGAAACGCAAAAGAGAAACACACAGCTGCACATAACGGGCAATGAAATTATAATGAAACACACACAAGAAAAACAACAAAACAAAACAAAAAGAAAGCCGTGATCACCATGTGAATATCTTCAGGAGGCAATAACACAATCCCCAACAGTGTGTGTGTGTCTTTCGTACAGGGTGAGCAATGGGAATGATGCACACATGATGACAGTCCACACACACACAAAGATAAGGAGGGTCGGTAGTGTGCGTGTTTGTTTGTGTCTTGAACCTCCTGCCATTCTTCACATTTCAGTCACAGCAATTACAACACATCGGGATTGTATCTCATTCCCATGGGTAAAAGCAATAGTTAGTAATATCACGGAACACACACACATCACCAGGAGGACACAGTAAATGGTGGCAAAACAGAACCCAGATAATGCGAACAGACAAAGAGGACACTCCCCTTACAAAATGATGGTTTGCCATCTCTGATGAGTGCCATAGGGAGTCCAATAGATGTGTTCAGTAAAAAAATGCAAATAAGAGATTTATCGTGCTGAAAGAGTAAAAAAGAAGGGCTGATATCCAACCAAAAAGAACAGTGCCCTTACAATACATTCATATCCACTCAAACAAAGGTTAACTGTGCAACTGTGTCATGGGAACACCGATTAGCACACGAGAGTGTAACCCAACACACACATCAGAACAAGAAGAATCAAGGAACTGTGCACCAATGCAGGACTGTGGCTGTTATCTTTCTTTTTTTTGGCCCCCTTCGCCTTTTCTGCGTCCAGTCTCTCCTGTTCCTCCCTGGCTATTCGCGCCTTTTCCGCAGCCAATCTCTCCTGTTCCTCCCTGGCTATTCGCGCCTTTTCTGCAGCCAATCTCTCCTGTTCCTCCCTGGCTATTCGCGCTTTTTCAGCAGCCAATCTCTCCTGTTCCTCCTTGGCTATTCGTGCTTTTTCAGCAGCCAATCTCTCTCGTTCCTCCCTGGCTTTTCTCTCCCTTTCCTCAGCCCGCCTCCTCGTCATTTCCTCCCTTTCCTTTGCCAATCGTTCAAGTCCCTTTTCCATTTCCCCCTTTAGACCTGTACCATAGTCATTGGCAGTTAACGATGGTTTTACCGCTAAGGTATCCACTTTTATCGTTTTCTTGACATCCGTAATGGCCTTCTCGGTAGCGTTTATCTTTGAATCATCGCCCTCCAACTTTTTCTTGACATCCTCGAGTGTGGTGTTAAGGCCCACAAGTGCGTTTAACGTATCATTAACCGCCTTGGTAGCGTTATCAATACGCGCCCCGGCATCGAACAAAGACAGGTGATTCTGTGCTGCGTATGCGTCTATGTCTCCCACAAGCTTGGTGACTATCCCATGTGCATCGTCGAGCTTTGCAAACCTTTCCTCGTTCTCCAGTGTTTTTTTCACCCCATGCTGCACCTCCTGTTCCTGCAGTGCTTCTTCATAATAATATTTGAGTTTCACAATCTGTTCCGCGGCACTTTTCAAGTTCCCACGCTCGTTCACACAATACGCCTTTACTTGCCTTGTATTACTCACCGCCGTCTTCGCCGCCTTGACCACCTCATTCGTTTCCCGCAGTCTCTCCCCAACCCTCTTCACCACCTGATCCACTTCGCCGATAACAACATCCTTGTTGCCAGACCCGACCCCCTCGACTTTTTGTTTCATCTTGGTTATCTCCGCAAGTATGTCCATGGTTTTCATTGTGGCCTCCTCTGCTGCCTTGTAACTGTCGTTGTTTGTTTTCACTCGATTCTTCCATTCGTCCAGACAAAACTCTCCCTGCACAATAAACTGATCCGTCAAACTTAAATGCGTTTGTATCCGCAGTTCCGTCCTCGTTACTCGGGTTCCCTCCTCGGCTTCAATCGCACAAAAACAACAATGCAGAAGTACCAACAGACATATCACGCGGCGCAGTTGGACGAACATCGTTGTCATGAATGTCACTGAGAGTTGCTTGGGTCTGTGGTAACAAGGAAGAAGAAAAGAGACGCACATTTAACACACATGGCAGTGGGTCCATAGCAACACAGAAAGAAAGAGAGAGTGGGAGAGAGCACACATCACAACAGCAATCAAACAACAACCCAATGAGGGGAACAACAGTAAACCACTCACACAATAAAACACACCCAGAGTTACACAGATATTGAAACAACACCTTGAATTTAGAAGAAGTGGAAAACAAATGGCATCAAAACAATATTAAATAAACGTCTCTACACACACTCCAATATCTTACTCGGTATTCATACACAAAGTGTGTCTGCATTCTCATTATAATAAAACCATTGCCAGGCAGTTCGAACACCAAAATACAGTGTACGCCCGACAACAAACAAAAACAATACCACAAATCATCAGCAAAACAAAGAAACTGTACAATAATCAACGCACTTGTAAAAAGAAAAAAAAAGAAACCAATGCATCACCATAATATTTATACCAACACCACAATTGGAATCCAAAACCCACTCACCCACAACCATAACAAAAATGACTGCATACATCACTGTAATACCATGACACTCTTTACAAACAGAGGCAACACACGATTACACTCTCTCACACACATATTACCTCTTTATTTATCCTTATTACTATTATTTTATTTTTTCCTCAGAATGCCGGCCCACCTCCCACAACATTATCACCAAAAAAAAAAAACAAATTGCACCCATCCCCCCTGATGTACATGAGGAGGGTACGATCAAACATATCCCCTTCCACCCCCTACCCAAATGGGACCCCACAATCCACACCACCACGTTTTTCCTTCTGCTCTTTATGGATATTACTCCAATGGTACGGCTATCAACCGTACACCGTAGAGCACCTAGTGATTGACTTACGAGAGGCTCCGAAGAAAAAAATCCCTTCATTTTATAGGATCCTCAAGCTCTTGTAATATGTTTTTTGTTGTAGCCCGTTTCCAAACGAGAGAACCAGTCTACGAGAAATCTGATCGAGTAAACCCTACCAGATTTCTCTACTCTCACTGTTCTTACCCAAAACCCGTCCTCAAGTCTCCTTTTGTTATTATTTTTGTTATTTTTGGGTTTTTTTTTATAATAGATTGGCCTCAATGAACTCCTATTTATTTTGTTGCTTGTTGGGTCGGCGGCAGACGTCTTGAGCGTACTCTTCTATCAGGGTTTCCATATTCGAGCTCGTCGCTGATTTTAGAGAGGTGGGGAAGGTGGGCTGCGTAGGGATTCTTGGGTGTGAAGTCTGTGGCATAGCGTAGTTCCGCTCCACCGCAATAAGGAACTGTGCTAACCGCTTAAAAAAAACATAGTTTCATCAGGGGTATATCATCAACTATCGCAAATTGAACTCGCAGTGGATGAAGAGCGGGGCAACTCAAAAGATGCAGAGCTGTTTCGTCGCATTCGTCGCGTTGGCTGGTGTGCGCGCGAATAGGTTGATACCCGTGTCGAGACATTCGGTGTAGAGTTAGGCCTGATTTACTCACACATTGGCGACCGCATGAGGGGTAGACTAACGCCGGAAGGTCTCTAGTTTTCGTTGTTTTGTATCGTGCATTGATCCTCTTTGTTTGTGGTACACCCTCTCCTTCATGGAATTTTCTGCAGTGTATTACGAGGGAGTCTAGGTGGGCGTAGAACTTTTGGCATACTCCACATTTTACTTTTTCTCTGTCCTCACGCTCCGGTGGCGACGTATCTCGCTGGCGTTTCTTATTTCGTGGAAACGTTACTTGTATTGTTGCTGGCAGAATTGGAGTTCCAGGTGGGTGTTTAAACTTTGTGTGGTATGCAAGAGCTCCAATGTTGCCAAAGTCGCGGAGGCAGAATGCGCATCGTAGTGAAGCAGGCTGTGGGATGAGCTGAGGGCGAGGTGCGTCTTTTTTGGGGGGGGGGGGTTCTCAGGATGCCGTGCTCTAATATGGGATTTAAGGCCTGTTTTAGAGCGCGTTATCATATCACATTTGTCACAGGGAAATGTTTGTCCTTCTGGTGTCAGATCATCGATTCGCGGGCGTTTTCTCTCTGGGACATGACATGTGACATTGTGCATGTATCTAAGGTGGCGCGTTAATCCATTTTGAAGCGGAAATGTTCGTTTACAAATACTGCAGGCAAACGGATGGAGTTTTGCTTTAGGCGAATTGGGACGGGGCAACGTTGTGGCCGGAGGTGGGGGTTGTGAAGGTGGCGGGGGTTCTGGCGGGATGTCCGGCGGAGGTGGCTCATGGGGGAATTTGATCTTCCAGAGCGCATCGGCTCTCTTCAACCCATGTGTTTGTTGACCATATGTTGTACTGCGCCGTTCCTGCATGAGTATTGCGACCCACATTCAGTGCAGGTGGCGGGGTCTGTTGCTTTGCTTTGGGTGTGGTGCGGTTGTTTTTGGCTAGGTGGAATAACGGGTGTCGGCGTTCTGACTTGTTGGGGATTACACCAACGACAACCAGGAGGAATATTGGTTTGTATTTTTCGCAGCAACCAGCCATAGCGATGCGAAGCACCTGTGCGAAAACGTGCTAAGGCTGTTTCTTCTTCTCTAGTGAGTTCCGGGTTGTCTTTGGTGGGGTCCCAGGATCCCGTGATTTTTGATCTATGGGAAGGAGGGGGCGTATCCTCACCCTTAAGTATTCGTTTGGCGTAGGCTATTATATATATGATCCAAGTATCAGTTCTTTCTGGGAGTTCTGCAGCTTTTTTGGCTTCTGTGTCGCATTTCTCATTTTTCACTACACCGCAGTGTCCAAAGATAAATTGTAGTCGTATGCGGGCCTTGCGAAGAAGGTTTAATTTGATACTGCGCTTTCATACCTTCCTGCTCGTGTGTGTACGTTTGTGTAATATTGAGAATATTTGAAAGAAAGGGCGAGTGAGTCAGTGATACTGAGCATCACATCAGGCACCAAACTTTCATTTCATGTCAACCTTTCTTTGCAGTAAATAATAATAAAAGAAAGAGAAAATTTTGCAAGGGTTAAACAAACTAAACATCACACTAACCGATCCAATGAAACCACCCTTACTCGATACGGTTCCCCCTCTCTTCAAAAAAAAAAAAACACTCAAGTTTAAACACAGCGCAAGTGAGTGGTTAAACTAAGAAAAAAGAACAACAATTAATTGGGAGAGGAAACAAAAAAAAAAAGCAAATTATTGTCAAAACATTCATCTACCATAGACAAAGAAATAAGAGCCAAAGAGCAATAGAAAAATATACTTTTTTACACAGGACAATGACTGAAAAAAAAAAGAAGAAACATCAAATACACTACTTCCTTTCTTTTTTTTTTATTTTTTCATCCTCATGAATTTGCTATCGAATTATTTGCTTTGAAAAAAGTAATGGTTTGCTTAAAGATTATTTACTTTTTTTTACTCATAGATGATGTTGCGCAAATATTACATGCAATGACTTCCATTATGCTCGGCCTATCATTCCATTCATCAAGAGGGGATCCAATATATCCCAAATGACCTCCATGAGGCAATTGTAAAAATGCAACATTATTGTTAGTGCTAATAACATCTTGAAGCTGCTTTTTACTTGGATGACCCGTAACTGGGTCGTCAATAGCACTTACACAGAGAGTTGGTATCTTGGTATAGAGAAGTGATGTAAGCGTATTAACAGCAGCGTAATATTCCTCAGGGGAAGAAAATTTGTTGTGGGGTGCAACAATATATTTATCAACATCATATATAGTTTTTATTTTTTTTAAAAATGCTGAAGAATCTTTTCGAATACCCTCAGTTGCCACACCTGGTAGGCGTTTAATAATATCCTTATGACGAACCACATATTTCACTAACCCAGCCGTCATATTTTTTTGATATAGTAAATTTTTTCGTAGTGATATGTTGTGATTTGCAGCCAATGTATCCAAAGGACTATTCAGAATGAGTGCAGCATCAAAAGGAAGATCTTGGGTTCCTTTTTGTCCTTCCTCTGAAAGAAACTTGGCAAGAATAACACCACCCAGACTGAAGCCAACACTCCATACATTATTGGCAGCAGAACCAAATCGTAAGGAGAGGGCTGACTTGGAAAGTGTTGTTCGTGCAATCCAACGAATATCTTCTGTCCACGCCGCTGATGTGATTCGCGGTTGTGTGAGTGGAGTATCGCCCATTCCTCGGGCATTAAATACACAGCAATGAATACCTGAGTTGTGGGCATGCCAAACAAAGTGTTGTACATAGTTTGTCTGCGACCATGAGGCGAGACCAGGAAATATAATCATAATGCCTTTTGCCGGTGTATTTCCTTCTGTATCTGCTGGGAACCAATCCAAACAAATGGGATTACCGTCCGCGCCGTCAACCGTCTGCCGGGTGTATTGAATTGGCCGATGTGGACGCAAGGCACAGAGAACAGTGCCGACGTGTCCACTGTAGGGAGGGGAAGTGTATGAAATACCAGAGAAGGTATCAAGTAAAAAGACTTTTCGGGTCACATCGCCTTCACACATAATAGTGATAGTGGAGGGATTTTCCTTTGAAATGGTAAGGCCAATTAAATTGGATAGCGTCCGTACAAATTGCGGGATGTATACAGATATCACATGGGCTGTGCCCTGCAGAATGCAGAATATTACCTTTGATATAAAGAATTGCATTTGTAATAATATATAACCTTTTTGAAATATGAGAACTGAAAATGAAATGCAAGAAAAAAAGAAATAATAAAAAGAAAAGGGAAATGCTTTTAAAAAAAACAAGAGAAATAAAACTCAATAGAGATTATTTATTAGAAAGCAAAGAAAACAAAACAATAAAAAGTTATATAGACCACTTTGTTCCTTCTTTTTAAAATTCAATCGTAAAGGTTATTTTCAATATCAGACAAAAGTACGTCACGTACTCTCTTAAGTTCAGCAACAGACTGAACGTAGTTGTCCATAATAAGAACGGTTTCTTCAGGCGATAAGTTAGCTCGCGGAAAGCAATGTTTCTCGAGATTTTCAATAATAGTCATTAAGATAAGACCTTGCTGATTCATCATTTCATGTCGTGTGGGCTTTGGTACAATTCTTTCTTCCTCTATCTCTTTATTTTCTTCCCCCCTATTATTATTATTATTATTATTATTATTATACTGTTGTCCTTCTTCTTCTTTTCTTTCTCTTTCTTTTTGTTGTTGTTGTTGAATAAGGGTCTGCAGCTGCTCATTCTCTGGTGGAGTGAAGTGCCGACGCATTTCATTTCTCTGCGGCCGCATGTGCGCAATTGTCATTTCCACCAGCGGGCCAATTTCCTCAACGGGCGGGTATTTCATCACACGTCTGAGTGCATCTATACAATCCATCATGAGTTCACTCTTCACATACAATAGCATGACGGCGGCAAACATAGTAACTGTGCTTTCAGATAGGTTGTACACACTCTCTCCTAGCAAGAATCGTTCCGAGAGAAATACATCCCATAAATCCGCACACTGAATAAGAGAAAACTCACGAAGAAATAAAAGACGTAACCAACGTATTAAATAGGATGTTCCCTCAATACTATAAACCACATTCATTTGATTATGTAATACTGGATCTAGTCGTTCTAAAAACTCACCTTGAACTTTGTGTGCTGCGCTCACTATATCATCACGCATACTATCATCCGCATGATTCTTATAAAACCATTTTGAAAGGTTTAAACCACGTGAAGTCATAATAGATTCAAAAATAAAAAATGACAGTGCCGTTACACCTTCAAGTGGACAAACAATAGTAAATGTATGAAGCAAAGTAGTGTGAACGCCTGCGTCTTCTCTAGAAAGATTATGAATGAGGAACGCATCTGTGTGGGTTAAGTATAAAACAAAGGCTGCAATCTCATGCATACCCTGTCTATACTCACAGTTATGTCGGAGACAATAATTCACAAGAATATTTAAAAGGGTTTCTTTTATATTCTCTTGTTCAAAGAGTGGAAGATCCCAGTGAAGTCTAACAATATCTTTAAGTGCAATGGTACGAATTTCATCCACAAGATATCGAAGGGCGTACGCACCACCTGCAGTCGGTTGTAGTGGATTCTCCACTTTACTATTATCTACATTCTCACCATTATTATTATTATTGTCATCATCAGAGGAATCACTATCACCAAAACATATTTTCTTCTGAGAGTGCTGCCCAACAGAGGCAACCGTACGAGAACGCTGCTCAACAGTATTATGTATATTATTCCATTCCTCTATATGTTTGCGGGTGGACTGTATCCATTCCTCAGTGTAGTTATCAGCATTCACATCTACAGAGAGTAGACCCAACAGTAAACGCCAGCGAAGACTGTGAAGTAATCGCACAGTGCGGTGAGCTGCGAAGTTTAAACAGCGATGAAGTAACGCGTCCGCCACTTGAGACTCTTGCAGTGATTGATGAATGTAGAGAAGTTCCTCCATTTTTTTTTTCTTTCAATGGCAGCAAAGAGAAGCGTAATACCGTACAGCTGCTATAATGCTATATGTGTATAGATGGAAATAAATAAATAAATAAATAAATAAAAGATAGAACTAAGGAAACGCAAGAATAGATAATAGGTGCAGTAACAAAAAGACAAAACTTGTAGATGTCTTCTCTTCATTTATTTGTTTCTCTTCTTGGTTGGTTTGTAAGAGGCAAATTAAAAAAAAAAAACAAGAATAACTAAAAATAAAAAAAATAATAAAGGCTTATCAGTCACTATATACCTTTTACTGCGATCTCTTTGTGCTTTTCTTTTTTCTTTTACTCTTCCCTTGGGTTTAGCCATTTAAACAATTCCCATTCCGTACGTTAGGCACTATCAAAGCGGGCCCGCGGTGTTACTGTAGTTGTTGTTGTTGCTGGTATTGTTGGTGTTGACATTCGCATGCGCATAGAATCCAGAAAGTCAAACATAAACAAAGAAGTGCCGGGAGCCGCCAACGCCCCACGTGGAAGTTGTCCAGCGACTTGCAGCCGCAGTGGTTGTCCACTCGCCGTCTCATCTTCTTCTTTCTGCATTTGTTGTTGTTGTTGTTGTGAGGGCTCAAGGGACTGGAGGTGTGAAAGTTCTGTTGTTTCTTTACTCATCATCTTCTCTGTATTCACAGGGTCCAGCATGGCGTGGCGATTGGCATCTCGCACACAACGGCGTTGCCGCCAATGGTGTTGAATAAGAACCGCCGCATACATCTGAGAAGCCGTAAAGATATCACGATGAGCCGGAGAAGTAAAAGATGTAAATTCACGCCGCATGAGAATTCTAAAATTTGTATATACAAGTCCACAAAGAATATCATTATATCGAATTCTATATTTAGAGTCCAGGGGAAGTTGAAGAGCTGTGAGAAAACGAATCATCCACACATGGTTTTCTTTAGAGTTGTTTGGAATTCCCGTCAGTATAGATGGAATACGAATCATTATAGTAAGAAGATTCTTAAAACTAATTCGATCTTTAGTAGAACCAACAGTTTCTATCCACATGCGTTTAAACTGAAGAAAGGCATCTGTGGTTTCATCTTCCAATTGCGTGGTAAAGTGCTCAAGAAAAAGAGCCATCAGCCATTGTAGAAGAATCACCGCAAGCACCATATAAGTAAGAAAGAATATCTCAGAAGAAACAATAGAACCACATCTTTCATTTAAACTTCCCGGAATACAATCCGTTCGTAAAGGACTCTGCGCACACGCACGCATAATTTTTTCCCATCCATCCAAAGTCGCCACTTGAAACATCAACAAGAGAGATTTAATGGCGGTATGAAAGTTGCGGTTTTCTGTTATCCCATCGCGGTATAGTTTAATACGTCCGAATACATCCACTCCCACAAATGTGTACAATAATAAGAACGTACAACAAAGAGCAAGAGCACAAAATAGACAAAATTTGTTACGATAAATAGAATAAAAGATTCTATCAATGGAGTACCATTTTAAAAGTTTGATGACTCGAACAACACGCATAAAGGAAACCGAAGGTATAGCAGCCCCAATAATAATAAGAATCAATACAATGAGATCAATAATATTCCATGTTAAATAGAAGAATTGATATGGGCCATATGCTACTAATCGCAAAAGTACTTCTACACCACATATAATAATACCAAAAATATCAACTGAAAAAATCTTTTTTTCTCTCCAACTAGGTTCATTACTAGTTGTGGTAGCTAGAAATATACAATTAATAAAAATAACACATTGTACAATGTAGTGAACATATGAATAGGTTAATTTTGAACTTTGAGCCGTCAAGATTCTATGTGCGGTCCAACGAATTATATTACGTCTTGGAGGACTTTTATTTTTCATAGAAACTACTTTTATAATAAACTTGGCCTTCATATACTGGTTTTCATCCTTTAAAAATCCAGTTTGACTATTGCACTTACTACGTAAACGAGATACGTAGGCAGCAATAACTGCAATAATAGTCTTTAATGCCACAAAACGAAGAATAATAACAGTAATAACAAAATATATTACATAATATCCTGAATGATTACGTGATAATGCTTTCCCTGTACTTACACTATCCATTCCAACATACATAAGGGAGGTCCAATTACTACCTAATCCTAATACAAATACAGATAATAAGGCACTTCCAAAGGTATCGTATGTAAATTCCTCCGTTAACCAATGTCTCTCCCGCACAAAGGACTCATCCTCTGTGTATCCAGGTATCTTTACAAGGAAAGTTTCATTACACGCAGATTCTTCGGTTATGTTTGGATCTGTACAATAATGTAACACTCCAGAAAAAAACTGCATCCCACAAATACTACAAATAATAAATACGTATACTATTAGAAATAAGACACTCCATATATACTTTATTTGCTTAACGGAATCCTTAAAAACCACATTAGGGTATTCTGGGCTTGTCAGTACTCGAATAAATTGAATGGTTTTTACAGAACGACATGGGGGATAATAAATACCCGCAAAAGAGAAAATGTTCGCAATAAAATCTATCCAGTTACTTACATCTCTAAAGTAAGCCACAATATGTGGATTTACCACTGTATGATCACGTTCTGCTGATGGGGAAAAAACGCCAAATACGAACCATTTAACAAACATCTCAAAAATGAAAAATACCGTATAACCAAGGTGAAATGAGAAGAGTGCATTATTTATCCAACGGGTATTATTATTATTATTATCAAAAAATAATAATACAATTCCTACCAAAACAAGAAATATAACAATCAAATGATACCACATAGAACCAAGAATATGTAAACAAAACTTGCGAAATGTATATTCCGGTCTAAATACGTAGAATGAATCTCCTTTCACTCGTAATGGTCGACTAGAGATTAACCATGAAAAAATTTTTTCAAATCGTGATGTGACCCCTAATTTTTGTTTAGAAACTTCATCAAGAAATCCATATTGGGATTTATCCAAAATAGATAACCGTATACTGGTGGTATTGGCAGATGGTGTAAAACGATAGGGTGGAAGTACTAACAATGGAGGAAACTCAATACCCTCTGTTCGCTCAAGAGCCGATAAAATACACTCACAACGATAAATCATAAGACTTAGAAATAAACTAAACTCTACAAGGCAAATACTATAAAGTGTAATAAAGTAAATGATTCCTGTTACTGGTGTTCCCGTCGCTATCGCTGCATACATGTAATCTGTCCAGTTATCACCGGTAAACACAATAAAACATATCCAGAGAGCCTCCCAAAAGGTCCCAAAGGATCCATGCAGCCAACCCTCTATTCGGTATGAATCGCCAAAAAGCTGCATTCCCAAAATTGCATATAATATCAACGTAGTAATAATAAGACCAATTAAATAAGCAACATCGGCAACAAAATATTGATCAAATACACGTAGAAAAGGAACATACTTCCCTAAACGAAGAACTCGTAAAGTTCTTAATCCACGAATAATTCGAATATCAAATATTTTGGGTACACATAATTCTAAAAGTCCACTTATTGCAGCTAGAGCATCAAAAATATTCCACACATCTGAAAAAGTTTTTAATGGTCCAAATGAAAAACATTTCATGATAACAGGAATGATAAAAAATAATGAACAAAATGCGCTAGAAATCATTAAATGATTTTGAATAGTACTATTCATACCTTCCCAGACGACTACAAGTAATAAGGTATTCGTTAAACTCATAAGTATCATAAAAAGGCAAAAAGAAGTACTATCTATTAAAGTAACGATAATATGCGCAATTTTTCCTTTTAAAATAGGTCCGTAGAGAGAACGTTCCTGATCACGTAAAGCATTCATAAAACCATACATTCTATATGCTTGCATAAATGATGGTATAGGAGCTTTACCAGGATAAGGAACAAAGCAATGAACTTGATTTCTTCTAGGTATATCACTCAAAATATCAAAAGAATTATCAAACGAACATACGTTATTTGGATCCAGTACATTTCTTACTTCTATTGGAGATAATAAAGATGGTGATCCCTCATCTGGTATTTGTACGGCTGCATCTCTTTTCCATGCTTCTCTTAATGGTAAAAATTCCTTATTTGTTTCAGAGGGAGGATTTAATTCTTGCAAATGTTTTTTACTCTGAATATAGGATTCATGTAAAACAGCAAGAAAGAGAGAGTAGAAAAAAAATGACACCAGTACCATACAAACAAGAAGAAGTACCGTTGCCCCACCATGAGCATTCATAATATTTTCCATATCTTGATACCAATTATCCATTGTACTTACTTTCATCATCACAAGCATAGCGGACCCAATATTATTATAAGCCAGAAACCCAGAAACATATGAACTCTCACCATCCCGCACACATTCCACAGTCGCCCCCGCAATGAATGGGCAATTAAAACCCGCGCCGCACACATTCGTTACATTCCGCAGTAAAAACGGCAGCGGAAGAGACGCGTAGACGCCGTTCGGGTCCGCCGCGGTGATTTGACAGCGGCCGCTCAACTGATCGCCAACAATAAATACAGCAATGAGTGCAAAGGCGGCAACGAAGAGAAAAAAGATGAGCATCACTTCAGCCAAAATCCACAGTTCATGCACTATCGGCAAAATAACAGAAATGACACCAGGGAGACGAAAGAGAAAACGAAGTGGTCTCGCCACGGCAAATGCGTGAATCCATCGATGATATTTTGCCAAGGGTAATAATTCCACAATACCAATGATGTTTAAAACGACATCCACAATATTCCAAAAACTGCGTAAAAAAGAATGAGGATGTAATAGAAGGCCAACGGCGATGATTTCAAGAATGCAACGGAACCAAAAGAAAACCATTAGTACAATTTGCAGAACATGTAAAACTGTATGGGCCGTATCTCCAAGATTATAATTCGGTTGAAATGCCGCAATAGTTGCTGTGTAGATGATGGTTGCAGATACCCATACAATAAACATATATGGATGGGTAATAACTTTATAGCAGAGACGACGAAATAAGTTATCATGCGAAAATAAAAATAATGATGATCCTCTCTCTGGATAGACGTGTAAACGCTGTGGATTCCATTTCTTTAGACAATTCCTCAAAGATTTATGGTATGATGTGAAATGCATATCTACACTGCAATACACTATCAGAGTAATGTATAAACGAGAGAGATGAAATGAATATACAAAAAAAAAAAATAGAGAGACACACACAAAAAAATAAAAAAAATGATAAGAAAGGGTAAAGGTAAATTGGTAGAATACGATTACAAAGAATATACTTTATATATGTATACAATCTCATCAAATGAAAAGAAAGAGGCTTTATTTCTTTTTTTTTTTCTTGTTACTTCTATGAAGTAAATAGTAATAATCTTTTTCCTCTTTCTCCTTTTTCTCAGTCTAACCATCTTCGATAAGGTACCACCAAACATTCTACATTACTACCACTTTTATCAATGAGCAAGAGCATATGATAAAAGTGGTGACATCAGAAATTTTTTATTATTTTCTCTTCTCATTCTTGTTAATGGGAGTGGGTTCGTTTCACCGTAATACCTGCGCGACTGTGGGGCTTGCAGTTCTAGCGTTGTAGTTAATCTCCACTTGTCTGGGATAGATCCTGATCTCACTCTACTGTACTCACTCACTACTGGTCTACTATTTTGTTGTTGTTGTTGTTGTTTTCTTGTTTCTTTCTGGCGAAAACAATTTCGCATTTGCTGTTCTCGCTTACGGTGAAGAAAAAGTGCATTCCCATACAACCGCTCAAACACACTTACACCCTCCGTCCATCGGGAAAGCAGTTCCTCATGTGTGCGGTTCACTACTGGTACAAAGGTGCAGTTAGCGTCATCACTATCATCCTCTTCATTACTAAGAGGAGCCTGGCAATTGCATTTCGGTTGTTGCGATTGCTCAAATAGACGCCTGTAAACATCTCCACTTAAATGTCTATATTCTCTGTTTCGACCACTAAAACAACTGCTGTCAGTTCCCAACGCAGAAGAGGAGCTGCAGACTGAACTTCTTCTCATCCTTTGAGAAGGTCTTTAAGAGCGAATTACATCCACAAACAGAAGAAGAAGAAGAAAAAATAAAAAAGAAAACAGTTAGCAATATAACTGAACTCTCTCATACTCATATAAAGATATATTTATATATATATAAACCAAGTAAATCTTAAGAAAAAAACAAAAAGATAATAAAGGAAAAAGAAACAAAAAAAAAAACAGTGAAAGAAAAGTCATTAAAAAAGGGGAAAAGTCAAGCAAGAGAGGTTTACTGAGAAAACATATATGCTGAAAAACATACACGTAACTGCATTACTGTAGGAATCCTTTACAATGTGTGATCTTCCTCATCTTCCAAGTCAATCTCTTCGCACTGACTCTCCTTCTCAATTGTCATGTTGTGGTCGTCCATTACTTCCCGTTGTGATACCATGGGTACTACTTTACTATTTCCATGATAAATGCCAAATCGTTTTTCATCCTCTTCGAGACGACGTAAATCTTCTCTAAATTCATCCTGGCAGCGGGCAAGTTCCTTTTCACGACTCTCCAATGATCGATTCCACTGTGCAATACTCTCATGTTTCTTCTCCAACGATCTTTTTCTATCTTCAATATCGTTTTCAAGTGATTTTAACTCCATTAAAGCCTTTTCTAGTTCTTGATCCGCATTAAACTGCTGGAGTTCCCGACGTTCTAGTAAGCGTTCATCTTTTTCAGAACGGTTAAGACGTTCTGAAAGGGCATTTAAATCTTTTTCTTCTTCTAATATTCGTTCATTTGCCCATGCGAGTCGTTCATCAATGTTTCTCTCCTCCTTGTCAAGCTTACTGCTGGCACGATTAAATAATTGCATGAACTTTGTCTCGTCACACTGTAATGTAAGATGATTTTTACGAGCAGCACTAATCTGTGAACGGCATTCTTGGTGATCTATTTCAAGGCAACGCCGTTCTTCTGATATATTACTCTGTATCTGATCAAGAAGCATAACTCGCTCCCGGATAAGCGCTTCTTCACGCAGGTAATAGTTTTCAATTTCTTTCTCTAATGAAAGGGTATTGGCTAGAGCCTTCATATAACCAGATTCCACATCCTCTGCGCTACGTAGCGCCCGTGGCTCAATACCCATCGAGATATTATTTATTATTAATATTATTATTATTAATATTACTTCTCCTTTTAAAGAATTCAAAGAAGAAGAAAAAAAAAAAAAAGAAGGGAGAGAGTAAAGGAAAAGTAGGAAAACGAAAAAAAAAAGTAATATATATAGTGAGAAGAATTAAAAACTTTTTGAATAGAGGATTTTTTTTTCTGCCACTATACTATCAGACTAATCAAGCACTGAGAGCGGATATCAACAGTGTAATAATGCGAACGTAAAAGCTGGATTTGCGTTCGACTCATCAATTATCGCCCTAGCTTTGCGGTGTACTTCTAAACCTCTCTGCAGTACACGGTCTGCATCACACATCTTTTCTAATAGAGCTGGTGGATCTGCACAAGACATATGCACGCACGGTGTCATCATCACAGAGTCGGAGGACTCACTTTCATCCTCAGAATTAATGAAAACATCGGCCTTTTCTTGACGAGATGTCGCCTCATCATAGAGAACTTCACCCTCCTTCACGTACTGCAGGAGTCGCTGCAGTTCCAGTCGTGTCTCTACAGACATTACGCCACAAACGATACAACGTTCCTTTAATACTCAGAGTACTAATACGAAAAAAGCAATGAAAGAAAGAAAAATAAAAGAGAGAGAGAGAAAAATAAAATAAAAAAAAAATTGAACAAAGAAAAAATAGAGAGTAGAGGAACAAGAATAAAAGAAAAAATCCATATATATATTTTTCTTAAAAAAATAAATAATGGGATAATATTCTTGCGAACGACTGCTCTTATGCGAAGAGTGCATTACATGAAAGCGCTGAAGAAGAAAAAAAAAAAAAGGTTGTGGAAAATAAACGAGGGGACGGAGTTATTTGGAGGAGGAGTAAAAGGAACAATAAAAATAATAATAATAACGAAACAGTATCTTCGTTTTAGAGATTACGACGTATCTTCAACATTCATTTGGTGAAATCCAAGTTCCTCATCCTGCTCAAATGTACGCACATATTCTGTCTTTACAAGTTTGGGGTCTTCATTTTCTGGTGGTGGTAAATGCTCACGTGGGTTTTGCACATAAATATTTGCTAGAGGATCATCAAGAATAAATGTAAAAGGCTTTTTTAATTCCAGTAATTTATCCAGTTCCTTCACAAATTCCTCCATAGTTTTCGATTCAGCATCAGTGGCAGCTGAATCACCCTTTCCAAACTCCGCCTGTGGGAGACTCCGCAGTTGATCGCGCACCATCATCACAGTTCCCTCCACAGTAGAGAAAAAACCTCCCAGTGTACCCGGTGCCAACTCCAACGACACCTCAGGAATTTCCAAAGTGGCAGTGTCAGACTTAAGTACATCACGTTTTAAATCATCTTCAGACTCAACATGAAGAGTTATTTTGAGTCCTTTTTCAGATACTTTACCTCCAGACTTTACTTCATTACTCTTATAACCACAGAAATCGCAACGGAATGCCATAATAACGGTTTCCTTAAAGTATGGAATATCCACTTGATGCATATTAATATATCCTTGTTTTTTACATGCAGGACATTCTGTTTCCATACGAAACACTTCATCAAAATGGCCTTCCTCCACTTCATGTTGTTCTTCCTCCGTTCGAGCCGTATTGTAATCAATGGAAAGACCCAATATCTGACGATCCACATCTGTACGCTCTTTTTCAAAGTGCGTCAGTTGCGGGTCAATAGTAGGATGATAATAATCATAATATGCCTCAATATAACTGTTACCAGCAGGATCATCAATTATAAAAGTAAACGGTATATCACCTGTACGGTATTCTTCCAATTTTTTACAAAATGACTCAAGTTTTTCATACAATTCTGGGTTTTGAATGCGTCGAAGAGGTTGTTCAAGTCGTAAACCAGACTCTGCCTGCTCCAAGAAACCCTCAACTGTGTTCAAAGTACCCTTTTGTGATTCTGGTGGAATCTCAAATTCCAACTGTGGAATACAAATTGTTGCAAATTCCGATTTTACAACTTGTCGGTCCAAATCTTTTTTTGATTTTACTTCAACTTCATATCGTACAGCCTTCGGTCCAAACGTACCACCGAATGTTACCTCATTATTTCTTTCCGAGCAATGAGGACATTCAAAGCTGCTGACAATAACTTCTTTAAAGTGTGGAATCTTTGTTATCATGAGGCGTGTTGTTCCATTCCCACCGCATCGAGGACACATGGACTCAATTACATTCATTTCTCCAAGTTCTGTTTGAATGTATTTTGGAGTCTCGGAAGAAACTGCATCCTCCACCGGGTTCTTTACATCCTTTTCTACAGCCTGATTTTTTTCCTCAGTCTGATTTGACATGATTGAATAATTATAATTCAATTATGTATATTTTTATACAAATTCCTTTTTTTTTTCTTTGCTTTTTCTTTATAAACTTGATCCTTCGTTCTTCTCTTTTCTCTTTTCTCTCTTACGACTTACACTTTGTTTTTTTTTTGTTTCTTTTGCCTTTTTACTTCCGGTCTTACCTTCAACGAAAGAAAAAAAGATAATGGACAACACAAAGGAAAACAAAACAAACAAAAAATAACAACAATCCAAAATGATAGTTTCTTGTATTACTCCCATCCATTAGTACGGAGACTTTTTTTTTACCTAATCAAAGAGAAGGAACGTGATAAGGAAAGAGAAGGAAAAAAAAGTAGAACATTTACTCATTGTTTGTTCTTCTTTCTACTAATTTTCTTTTTAAGACCACTTTCCAGTTCTTTATTTTTTTTCCCCCTAGAGGCGTAGGGGTATATTTCGCTGATGTAAAGAAAAAAAAACGCAAAGAGATAAGAAGATGTAATAATACGTCTAAAACGTACCAAGAAGTTTTCGCTGCAACGTGCTGTTATATATATATATGGTTTCCATATTTTGTTTTTGTTTTTTCGGTATTTATGATGTAAGCTTATAGGTACCATTGAGAAGTGTTTTTTCACGGTATGAGGGACACACCGTCCATATACGAATTGTATGAAGTTCCATTGAATGACACACCTCTGAAGTTTTGTGCTCACATTGAATATGATATACAGTTCCACCTGGAGTATCAATGGCCACAGCAAAGTCATTAGAGACCATAACGTTTGTTGTGAATCCGTCAATGGCATCAGGATCAAGGTTTAATTTTTTTCGCATGAGATTAACTCCTGGACTGCTAAATGCAACACCTGGGAGGTGTGTGTGTGCGGCCACAATTTGTGCCACCACTCCTCCGAGAGAGTGTCCTGTGAGAACGATATATTTGGAATGAACGTTTTTAAGGTACTCTTCAACATGTAAGTGATAATAATCCTTTGATGGTCCACCGAGAAGTAAAGAACTGATAGCACTTGAGGCAGCCACATAATCCACGATAACACGTTCTGGGATAAGACCTGCGAGTGGAAGTACATTTGCAAGCACTCTGAAAACGATTGTTTCACTAAAAAGAAGCATATTTTGCAAAAAATCAAAGGGTGAAGTAATATCTGTACCTCTAATAGCAATAACGGATGTATTTTTTGAGCGTGAGTAAATGTGTCGAAAAACGGCTCTTCCGTATGTCTGATTGGTGGGAATATCTTCCCAATCCTCTGCCCCATCTCTATGCCGCTTGTAGAAGTTCAGCATGGTAACGGAATCCTTTGACTCCCGCTGGAGATATGCCATGAGAGAAAAGTACGCGAGATCGCCGGCGTGCAGATCCTGTGCCCAATGCTGCGCGCAGAGCCCCTGATGCCGCGCCGCGCTGTATTTACTCTTGTCGCTCTCGTAGACCAGCGCCTGCGGGTCGGCGTGGCGCGGGAGGCCGTAGAGATCGGCGGTCAAGATGCGGGCCGTCACGCGGATGCGCTCGCCGGAGCCGTCGCCGTCGCAGCGGGTGGCCGTCGCGCCCTCTTTGCCCGGATGCTTCACGCCGACCCACAGCGCCAGCGCCAACACCACCGCCGCCACCGCCGCGCACGTCAAGCGCAGGAACGCCCGCAGCGCGACGCCCGGCCGCCGGCGGTCCACCACGCAGTACAACTCCACGTCCGCCCCGCCCGGCAGCGACGTGCTGCCGCTCCGACTGCTCGGGTCCGACGTCGTGGGCGTCGTAATGGTGGAGGCCACACGGGGCTTGAGGGCATCACGGAAGGCACAATGACGCCAACGTCTCACAATGGCACTGGCAATAAAACAGAGAGAAGTAATCTGCAAAAGGAAAAGGGGAGCGGACACAAACGAGGCAGAGAAGAGAATTAATACTAGAAGCGGTATCGCACATCCCAATAAGATCCATCGTATACGTGTATCTCCCCATACTTCACCGATAAAATTAACAAAGCTGTAAAGAAAAATTGTAATACGAATGGCCAACACCAAAACTACGTGAAGTAGACATATATATACCATACCCTCACAAAAACTTGCAAAACCACGATTACAATCCTTAATCCAACAAAGGTAACCACTGTAAAGAACAAGAACATACAAGTAAAAACGTCTCACACGTGGTAATGCTTTGCGCCACCAAAATATCATGGATGGACCCAGTGAATTATCAACATTTCTCCAAAAGTCCATTAATGAGAATATCATCAAGAGACTCATAGAAACAATAAAAAGGATAAAAACATCATTACCCCTTCTATCCCATTCCACAAGTGAATCACTTCCAAACATACCTACAAGAAATATTGATAAACAGATAGTGAGAAATAACATAAGAAATCTTGCATATGGTAAAATAAGTACTACCTGAAATTCCTTTAAGAGTCTGTAGAATCCAGAAGTACACTGGGCAACATCATCATACCCAACTCGACATGAATCAATAGCAGCATCCGTAACAGAACTCATTAATTGGTAACCTAAAACAACCATTCCGATAAGTAATCCAATATGAGCTAACACAACATATAAAGCTCTCATTGCATCATGAGCAGTTGGAATTTCTCTAACATCTCGCCAAGTGTACATAGACCAGTGATATTTTTCACGAAGAATAGGAAAAACAAAAGAAAAAAAGAGGTGCAACGAACAATTTAGCCATATAGTAAGAATACATGCCAATAATGGAACGTAATGGAATGTAGCAATCCATACAGCAATCTTTTTTAATTGAAAACGGTCGAGCAAAAAGAAACGCATAGCAGCGCGCTGCACTTTTGTGATGGTCCACTCTGTATCTACAACCACTCCACTTGCACGGCGTTGGAGCGGTACATAAAATGAATTTTGGGGTTGAGGGTGCATTTGCCTCATTCTAGCACACGGTAATACCCTCTATAAACCATTTCATATAAATATGTATATATATATATATATATATATATATATATATGTGAAAAAGAAAAAAAAAAAGAAAATAGAGATAAATACGAGCATATGCAAAAAAAAAAAAAAACATAAAACAATAAATAATCAAGTAATTCTCATTACATAAAATTATTTCTTAACACAGAATATGTAAAAAAAAGAATTAATAAATATATAATGGATAAAATAGAGAATGAGCAGCAGTTTTCAAAAAACAAAAAAAAAAAGAATGCAAAAAAAAAAAAGAAAGAACGCATAACTTCACTAACTAATACTCACTTGTGGGCCAAGCAGCTTCGCAAATACTTCGATCTGTTCTTGAAGTCGATCACAAGTTTCATAATCTTCAATTTCAAGCGCCTCATTCTGTCTTTTTTGCAACATCAAAAGTTTCTCTTCTATTTCCTCCCTTGTTGAACCAACAGTAGTAAAATCAGTGGGCGAAGTATTTGCGTTAACTATTGTTCCTGTGGCATCATTATTAGCGCCATTATGGGTACTACAACCATCGCCACTATTACTATTGCTATCCACGATATTAACGGCATCCTCATCTCCATCCTCATTGTTTATCTTAGGCACACTAAGCCATTCTTCCTGCAGTGTCTCCACTAGTTCACCCATGGCTTCTGCAAGCTCATCACTTTCATGTTGTTCATCTACTTCAATCTGTAGCACGTTTGGCGGTGTAGCTGTTGCCTCCATTGCTGCTGAAAGTACATTGCGATAACGATCAAGAAATACCTTCACACTTTTAGACGCCTTTGACTGTTCATAGGCCAACTCTTTTCGTAATTCCGTTCGTTTAGACGCATTTGTGCGTAGCAATTCTTCTGTAGACTCTTTAGTAGCGGTAAGCTCTTCAATAGATACTGTCAGTGCACGGAGTTCTTCTGCTTTAAGTTGTGCTTCCTTAAATCGTTTCGCCTGCACAGCCGATTTCTTAGCGTCTTCTAGAAGAGGAATACCATTTCGTATCTCCGTTATTTGTACATTTAATGAAGTAATAAGCTCTGTATTTCGCTCATCATCCGCATTAAGGGTACGCAGTTGTTTCTGCAGACGATGTACCTGCGCGAGTGGATACTCCTCCGCACATGTTGCCGTACTTCGCAGGGATGGTACAGCTGTGTAGAGTATTCCACAACCCGCCGCACGTGTCTGCAGCATCACTTCCAATGCTTTACTGCAGCGCTGCAGCGTATCAATTGTGTTTGTTTCTAGTGAGACTCGACGATCATTATATCCATCAATTTTAGCAACACCACTCTGCAATTCCATTAGTAAGAAATCCTTCTTTGCCTCAAACTCTTTCTTTTCACGCTCTAGTGCCTCATTTCTTTCTTGTAGATTTACTATATCATCTGCAGCAGCATTCGCACGAGATTCTTCTTCTTTAATAAGTGCATCCACTTCATTCTCAAGAGCTTCACGTTCTTCTGTTATACGTTGTACATTAGATGATATTTCTTTTAACGCTGCTGCCTTCTCAGCTTGTGTCTGCTTAAGTTGTGTTAGTTTTACCTCCAATGCGGTAATCTCCGCGTTGAGTTCTGCCATATCGCACGTTAGCTGCTCCTGTTGTGCCCGTATATCTTTACTCTGACGCTGCATCTTTTCCCCAATCTTCCGTTTACGTTCACTAAGATCTGCAGTCTCCTGCAGTGCGTTACTTTTCGTACGCTGAGCACGCTCAAGTGCCGCAGCTACTTTATCACTGCGATTCTCTAAATTAAACGTCATATCACTGATAAATTTCTTTACACGTTTCTCTTCATCATCCTTGCATGCAATAAGTTCCTCACGGTGCCGCAACAGTAAATGGGCGAGATGACGCACTGCAGAATTTAGTTCTTCTTTAAATTGAGCAAACAGCACAAGTAAACGTGTAGGTTCCGCATCTAATTCCACAATATGAGAAGTAAGTTGCTCAAGCTCATTACTCATAATATCCGCCTTATCAAAAGCCTCTTGCGCTACACATTTTTCAATATCTTCTTCAATCCTTTTCACTTTTGAAATAGCATCACGTCGCTCCAAAATGGAATTACGTATTTGGCTTAAAACATGAGCAAGTTTAGCTCTAGCCTGTAATACATCCCTCTGAAATTCACCAATTTCACGTCTTTGTCTATCCCATAAGTTTTCTTCATTATTATTGTAGCTACTGCTAATACTGATTCTTCTACTACTTTCGTTTTTGCTTAAGTTACTGGTACTGTCCTCACTCCTACTCTTGTTATCGCCGTTATTGTTATTCGCTTCGAGGAAAGCTGACTCTGTATTACGCTGTAATGGTAATGAAATATTCTCTCCTTCTTCTTTTTCTTCTTCTTCAGTTTCATCTTCCTTATGTTCCTGAGGTACACGAGTAGTACTAGTAGTAGTAGTAGTAGTAATAGCAGGCGGTTTCATATTTTCAATTATTGTTTCATTTCTATCAGATTTCGCCGCAACAAACTCAAAAACAGATCCACCCTTTGAATTGGCTTCAATAAAACTAAAACCAGAACTAACAGCAGGAACCGAATCTTCATGGCAGTTTTCTGATTCTTTTACAGAAGTCTGTGGAAGCGGAAAATCCTGTGATGATGCCGTATTCACCAATATATCATTGTTATTATTCTTAAGATTCTCTACATAACTCTGTTTTGGACCAGATTGTATAAAATCAAAGACTGAACCGGCCTCACTTTGAGTAAATGGATTTACAAAATCATTTTTTGGAAGTACACTAGGTCGTAATACTACTGGTTCTGGACCATATTCTGCCACTAATAACTCAAAAAGTTCCTCCTCTCTACCAAAGAATGATTTTATATTATTTTCCACAGTTGAAAGCATGGAAGGACAGTATTCATTATAAAATCTCTCCAGCCGTTCTCGCATTCGTGTTACTTGTGGGTCCTCCACATCATCTTGCAAATTACCAACCTGCATATCATACCGCATAAAAAATGTTTTCTCTTTTGTGGATGATTCTACAGGTGATAATTGATCTTTCGGTGGCAATGGAATTAATGAATCTGTGTGAGGTGTGTGTGAGCCAACAGTACTCGTTCCTCTTCTTTTCTGACGTGTTTTCAAGACTTCCATCCCACCAAAGAGATTCACATTTGATGTCGTATTGTTCCTTGATACCTCAATAGATGTATATCCACCTCCACCGTTCTCGTTATTGTTGTTAGTAATATTACTACTATTACTGCTAGCAGCAGGGAGTTGCTCAGTGAAATTACCGCTACTCTTTAATTGTTTCATCGTCGTTTGGTTTGTATGTATATGCACGTGTATATATATATATATATATA